TTGGGCTGTCTTAGGGCATGACCAAACCAGCGTAGACGCTTTTGACTAACAACCTCTTGGACACAATATCCTCCTAACCATTCCGAAACTTCTAGTTCGGACACTTTCCAATAAGTCGTAGTACTATCCTCACGATCTTCATCTGTTGAGCTATCTCGATTTCTACCCCATCTTATAATGTTACTGACCAACTTATTACAACATTTTTGTAATCTATCAATATCATTTTTGACGTAAACCCAGGTTTCAGAATTATATAGCAATACACTCATCACACAACTTCTAAAGATGTTCTTTTTAGTGCCCGTAGAAATCCCCCTAGATTTCCAAATATTCTTTAAATCATTGAAAACGCTTACTGCCCGCCCAATTCTCCGGCCAACCTCCCCTGCGAGCTTCATTTTTGTTGTTAGCAAAGTACCAAGGTATACTGTAGACCCCACACATTTGAGTTTTCGACCATCAATCAAGCGGATTTCCACCTCTTCGATTTCCTCATTTACTATTCCCATTCTGTATTTCCCTACCATCCTACTTTTTCTCAAAACTACTTGTTTTTCAATTGTAAGGTTTGTGTGACTCATGCACCTGCCTGCTCTGGAATGCGATTTGAGAGCCCTATCATTATGGAATGTAGCCCCACAAGAGGTACATTTCCATTTGTCTGTACCATCACTGACCCTATCAAAACCCAATCTCGTCATCCTCAGTTTGTCCCCCTCTTCGTCTTGTATCCAAACAGCTTTTTTCACTATATACTTGACTTATTTTATCTCATGAGTAGGTGTGAAAATTTCCTCGGTACTATTTATTTTTAAAGGTCTTAACCATCCCTCATAATTGCCGTCATCCCACCTCACCATAACTCTTTCCTCCCTTTCATTACTACTACTACTACTGCTACTACTACTACTACTACTACTACTACTACTACTACTACCACTACTACTACTACTACTACTACTGCTACTACTACTACTACTACTACTACTACTACTACTACCACATTACGCACAATCTAGGCGTGCGGAAACGTATCACCGTCTACCCTCAAATTCGCCTCAAATTTTCACTTCGCAGAAAATTCAAAAAATTCACTCAGCTGAAAATTTTGCTATCAAAACATCCTCTATTCTTGCGGCCTATACGAAGCTTCAATGACTGGAGCACACTAACTATAGAAACGAAGTACGAATGAAATTTAATACTGCAAAAGAGTCTGTAGATATATTGAGATTTCACCCGTTTCACGCCAAGTGGCGAAATACTCTGTGAAAAACGCGATATTCTCGCTATGTAGTGGTTTGTGAAATATGTTTTTCACATCGCGGGTGAAACTCCATCATATCGCACTATATCACAAACGTGATACTAATAAGATGAATAATAGTATAAATTCATATAAATAATAGGTTGTCATATTAGCTTCGATCACTACCGACTCAACATTCGAGGACTGCTCAAACTGGTCTGACGATGTATTATATTCGGGATAGTTTTCATAGGCATAATATTAATGGAGTTTCACCCGTTTTACGTGAAGTGGCGTAAAACTCGGTGAAAAACGCAATATGCAGTAGTCGTGAAATATGTGTTTCACTTGAGGTTTTCATATCACGGCCGCCCGTGAAACTCCAATGATAAAAAAGGAGTTAGAAAAGGTAATATTATACTTTTATATAAATTCCCATTCAACCACCGAGGTGCCCCATATAATCAGTGTGCACATAAACAACTGCATATGTCGGTGACAATATGAAAAATTTCGAGAAATTCTAATTGGTTTCTGTACACTTCTTCCCAAATTCGTATAGTCAGCGAATTCCCGAGCTCATATGAGGGGACACTGCATTTAACACTTCTCCACTTACACCACTGCATAGGTATTTTCAGCCGCGAGAATGCATGTCTCCAACCGGTACTCTTCCGTAGCATCTAATATCATCTCCTCTACTTCTAGGA